GATAGACAGTATTCCAAAATGAGGAAAAGCAGGTCTTGTTTCGCACCAGGTGAGAATAGCCTGCGCTGGCACGTCTCACCCGGGGTGAGAGGTGGATCGTTTTTCTATTCTCACCCCAGATGAGAATAGCCACTTCCTTACTAGATCTAGATCTAGATAATAATTTAGAAAGTGGCTATTCTCACCCGCCGGAAGTTCTCGCAAGATCAACTCCTCCCCTCTTCCCTCTCTCTCTGTCTCTTTCTGAATACTGTCTATCGGTGTGGACGATCAAATTGACCAAAACAAAGTTAAAAAATGATGTTAAAACACAAAAGTAAATTAATTTGGTTGTCTACAAAGATGCTACGGCTATTTAACTTTTCGAATCGAGCCGAACTACGCGGGTCGCCATTTTGTTTTGCCCGGAAATTCTCGCGCTACTCCTCTCTCTCTTTCTCTCTCTCTCTCCACTGCCCACAGACAAAAATTGTACGCTTTTAGTAGGCTACAGTTGTAATGGAACGTTTTTTCACGGCACAGAATTCTACAATTTTTCTGTTATCACAGTGTAGAATTCTGTGGTTTAGGGTGAATGCAAAATTTGGTGAACGCGCACCGGGTGAGAATAGCCACAAGACTCGCCTGCACTATTCTCACTCCGGGTGAGAAGTGGCCAATAATTTAATATAGATCTATCTAGGTCTAATCTAGATCTAGATTCTTCTATCATATTTTTGTCAAGACTAGATCTAGATCTAGATCTAGAAGTCAAGGCAAGTGACTGACTGAATCAATTTCTTTTCGCAAACAGGTTCTAAGTTCAAGATCAAATTTTCGCTTCCACTTCCAGATTCGACATTATACTTCCATTGCAGTTGCATCCAGTTCGTTCCTCTTCATTCCGACATGAGTATCATAGTTGGTAAGTGACAGAACTGCTGTTAGATAGATCTAGATCTTAACTTTAACTCACTCATTACCAGCCATTTTCGGGGTCACTATTTCCTGTCCTGTGTACCAGTCATTTTAAGGGTAATTTTAAAAAATCAATGTGCTTTTGCTAATAAACATAGAGACTTGAAATTTTGGAACATTGTTTTTGAACACATATAATAAAGATTGCCCTGATGAAATTACTGCTTTGTTTTATTACTTTTTTTTCCACAAGTTTTCAAAAATTGGTCAACTTTCCCTTTGCCTTTCTTACTCACGTCCTTCCCCACTACTGCAATCCTAGATGTAGGTTTTGGGGGCCCTACTAAACCTTACTCTCCTTTGCAAATTTCCCCACCCAGTTTGTCATAACAATCTTCGGCCAATTCATCGGTTTCTGGGTCACTTTCGTCATCAAATCATGTTTGAAAACGGTCGAAGACAAGCGATCTGCCGTTGTGGGAAACGTATTAAATTCAGTTCTAATGGCGGTTGTCGTAAAAGTCAATAAGTCAACTTGCGCTCGTCGGTTTTCGGTTTCGTTTCTTTCTAATGAAAGATAATTGAATGGGCTGCGAAAAAGATGAACCGGTAAGTACTGCAAATGGTGCAGTTTTAACGTGAGAAAAAAAATTCAAAATACAAACTGCGAAAGTTGCAGGTGTGGTTTCCAAACGTCGGAGCTACTTTGCCCGCAACAGTAGCGGTTGTGGTAGTGAGTTACTTTTGATGTCAATGATTGACTGTGCCATAAGTTCAGTGGAACACGGATTCAACGAGCTCGGATTCAATGAAAACTCGGATTCAACAAGATGAATGGATTCCCCGTTTTTTTTCTACTTTAAAATCAATAAGAATAACCAGGATTCAACGAGCACTTAAATCAGCGAGCTCGGATTCAACGAGGTCGCTTCCAGTGAGAACAGCCCCCGCAGATGTGGCTTCGCTCATTTTTCTCCCGCAACAAACTTTATCTATTCCCGGAAACCATCCATTGCACCTGCATCGTGAACCAATATTCACTAAGTCGATTGCATGCGATCAATCAGCGGCGTTCTTTCATACCAACTCATGCATTGTTGGCACGCGCACATGTCTACTCTGGCGTGTGTCGGGGGGCGGATGGGCGGCCTGCACACATGTGACTGTGTGTGCGTGTCGGGGAGGGGGGGAGGGCACTAGTGGTCCAGGCGTTGAACGTCGCAGAAACTAACGCGTCACAGTCTTTTTTTCCCCTCGGCAACTGATCATTATTGCAATGACAAGCTAGTCTTGACGTAGATATCTACGTAATGAATTGTGCGCTAGTCTATAGAATCAAAAGTTGCCGTATGCTAGGCTCTTCACAGCAACACAAGTTTTTGGTAAACAATCGAGATGACACAGGCATGTGCATTTGAACGAATCGTTTTTTTTTTTTCACACAGCTCATAATATGCAGGCATTTCAGACACTACTTGTGACTTCTCTTTATACCTTACTTGCTTAGAAAGTGCCTGTAATTATCTTCACAAAACCTCGTGTTTGCTATAATGAACCCTCGGATTCAACGAGATTTTAGGTCAGGCCCGGCGACCTCGTTGAATCCGAGTTCCACTGTTTTGTAAGCAGTGACAACAGTGATTGGATAAACTAGCAAGCCGTCAATTTGATCACTCTGTGTTAAGTGTCTTAAATAACTAAATGAGCAGTTGAAACCGTTATGATCGCATGCAATGAACACAGAGTGATCAAATTGACGGCTTGCTAGTTTATCCAATCACTGTTGTCACTGCTTACAAAAGACACTTTCATTTACTTTGGGATAGAGTTTGAGGGGGGGGGGGTGCTCAAGCCCGTGAGCCCTTCACTACCCACCACCACTGGAGAAAAGTGCATAGAGCATTGTGAAAGCGGTGCCATGAAAGTTTTGTCGCCCCTCTCCTTCCTTGTGCCTAATCCCACTCAACAACCTCCCCCACCACGTTTTCCGAGTGGTGTCCAACCTCACGTTCCTCCCTACGTAGACACCAGTTCTTTGACACGTTTGCAAGAGATATAATTCTAGATTTATATAGTTATGTGTATTGTGTGCTTCCATAATATAATATATAAGTATATTATACTTATGTTATCATTTCTTATTTTAGGTGGCGGAACTGGATTTATTGGAAGACACTTTGCTAAACTTGGAGCCAGCAAAGGTTATAAAGTAATCTCTGTGTCGAGAAATGCGGGGCCAAATCGTATTACATGGGTAAGGAAATTGATCACTTCTGTTTTCTTATTTATTTTTGTTTTTTGTAGATATTTTCTCACTGGTTTGTGTTCACTACTATTCAACAGCAGTTGTCGGTGTATACTGCTTTTGAGAAAATAGGTTTTTTTTCTGGGTTGGTTTCAAATTTTCTTTTCAAGCAGAGATAGAAACATTTGCCATCAATTGTCTTGAAAAGAACAGGATTGATTTGTACGTGCCAGAGACACAAAAATGTTGTGTTTGTGGAAATTAGGAAACTGTGTCAAAGGTATTGTATACTCTAATAAAACGCCTGCTGTTTATTTTTAGTAGCAAATGAATATTGTTGCAGAAATTTGATTTGACGAAAAAAGAGCGTATCATTGATTTTAGTTTGTTGCAGTGGGCACACTGGCATCCATATTTTGCCTGATAGGTGTGGAATACTACAACACTGTAAAAGCCTAAAAGAAACTCATCACACTGGAGTGACCATAAACCTCATGTTTTCTCAAAGGCTAGTCGTATTTACTACAGTTTAACCCACTCTAATGTCCACCAGTATTTAAGACAATCACTTGTACAAATAGCTATTTCCCATTCCTCTCAGTAAAATACTTTTTTTTTGGTACATTATAACTCTGTGTAAGATGGCCACCTGTCCTAGCATGTCACTTTCCACTTGGATTATGGATGGCTGTTTCAGACAGTTTCAACTGTATAATTGTCATTCTGCAGCAAGATGTCTCTCGTTCTGGTCTCCCTGAAGACTGCATCGCTGTTGTCAGCATGTCTGGTGAACCCATTCTGCAGCCATTCAAAAAGTTTGTATTGTGTGCTGATTTTTTAGGGTTTTTTTTTTTTTTGGGGGGGGGGGGGTAGTCATAAAGTAAGGCTAATGCCCTATTTGCTGAAGAACTCAATGCTGGTTTCATGCTGGGCTGATAATTGTATATCTCTACCTAGGTTTTCTCATTCCTGATTGGAGGATTTGTGGGATCAAACCCCTGGGTTTCTTGAATGAGCATTAGAAATTTGGGGTTCCCCTGTGAATGCTGTGCAGTTAAAGACATCATAGCAGTTGGAAGCCAAAGAGAATAGCCTTCAATTTTAATATCCTGAAGAAAAGCAGTCAATTTTAATATGCTGAAAAAATTCCTTTCTAACTTAAGGAACAGTCAATTAAGTATTTATAAGTACAGGTGTTCTCATTTTGATAAAGGAATGGGGCTCGTTCCTACTTATTCTGGTGCAGTCAATAATGATTTGATTTTGTATGTTATCGTAGATTTATCAAGTCACACATTTATTTTCTTTTATTGCTGGTTATTGGGATTTTTTTTTTCCCCTGTAGATTTCAGTTCAGCTGTTCTACTTAGTAGGGAACTGAATGTTCATAAATTGATAATAAATAATTATTTCTAAAATTCTTCTCCAGATGGACTCCAGATTTCAAGGAAAGGATCAGAGCCAGTCGTGTGGACAAGACTCGTCTTTTGAGCGCAGCCATTGCCCAGTCGTCAAAGCCTCCGAAAGTCTTTGTGTCCTTATCAGGAGTCTGTGAGTCATTGCCAGATTATTAAGCATAGACACGTAAAACTTGGTTCTTCCAGGTATGTGTGTGTGTTCATTGTACATAGATGTGTCTGCGCGTTTGATGTTAAGTTATAAGTTTTTTTCTGTATTGTATCTTTGCAAATGTTCATTGTTTAATTCAAGTTTGTCTTGGGCAGTTAAGATCTCATCTTACCAATCGAGAAATGAACAAAACAACGAATTAGCAATAATTTGACAAAAAGTATATCAATCTCGCTTTTTCAGAAGGTATTTTTAAAATAGATTCTATAAGCTTGCTTTTTAACAATTAAACAAGGCAGATCATACTGTTTCCGCAAGGTTCTTCATCACCGTATAAAATAATATTCTTTTGATTTATGTATTGCATATACCATTCTCTCCTCAACACTGCGGTAAAAGAGGACAGAAAAAGTAATAATAAGTAAGTAAGTATATATATCTCTCCTAAAACCATCTCCTATATTTCAGCCTACTACAAACCACACCCGAACAAGGAGTACACAGAGGAGAGTCTTGTAGAGCCCTACGACTATCTGTCTGAGCTGACCCGGGACTGGGAGCGGGCGGCTGCACTACCCGACACTGTCAGCACCAGATCTGTCATTGTGAGAACAGGTCAGTGCATTTGGGAGGAAGGGGGGGGGGGAGGGTTCGGTTATCTTTTCATGGTTGTTGTTTTGGATGAAGTATGAAGGTGTGTAGCTGTACAGTTGAGTCATCTCTAAGGGTCACGTGTCCAAGACAATCATCTGTAAGACTGCTTGCCATTTCCCTTTTTTTATTTTACAAAAAAATTAACACTTTTTAAGACCTTCATCTGTCTGAAACAACGACTTTCCTTGTAGACTATATTTTTTTGTTAGAAAACAGGAGGAGATATACATGTAGAGGTAAAAGTCTATTACCCCCCTCCCCCCCCCTCCCCCCTTAAATGCATCTTTCACACATTTTGTCAAAGGACCCAAATGTGACAGAGCAAAATATTATTCAATACAGTGGGTGTCGCATTCAACGAGGTTGCCGGGACCAGCTTGTCCTCGTTTGATCCGACCTCTCGTTGAACGTGACTAAGGCTAAAAAGAAAGGAGACAAGTTATTATTATTAGTCACACGATGTACCAATACCATTAATTAAAACAGTTGTCCCTAGGCCAAAAAACAGCCAGCGCAGCCCAAGAACTACACACCTTGCTTGTGGGCTGGCACACCGGCTGCTCAGGCTTCGGCCCTCAGCAAGCAGTGACCTTCGTAATGATAATATGGCTTACGGCTAGGCGGTCTTTTTCTCCCTCTCCCCCTCTCTCTCTCTCTCTCCCCCTCTCTCTCTCTCTCTCCCCTCTCTCTCTCTCTCTCTCTCTCTCTCTCTCTCTCTCTCTCTCTCTCTCAATGGTTTAGCTTCCTGTGTTTGTGTTCAAATGAACGGACATGTAAAAATTATTCTAGACAGACAAAAACGATGGAAAGACAGAAAGTTGACTCGAGTTGAGTTACAGTTTTACGGCACTTTAAAAACAATGAGGTCATTTCAGCGGGGGACATTTGGGAAAATGGATGGAGGGACGGTAGGAACGAGCTTACTTCGACGACGAACCATAGACACATTCTGAGGGAAATGGAGAGCACACACTGATATGTTTTTTGATTTTGACACCTTTTCATAGAATAAAATGTTTGGTAAGCTAGCAATCCATGCCCGACATTCTGTTTCATCCGAAGGAAATCCATACAAGGTCACTTTTTCTGCACCTTTCTGACTGCCATAGCCAGTTTTGCATCCACCAACTGAGCATTTTCTTCCCATTGTTACTCTTATTCCTTCAGTAAATTTTGAAGGTGTCAGTCACAGTCCAACAGAGTCATAACCACACATGATGAAAGCAATAAATGGGCCTAGAAGAGAAGCATATAAGCACTGTGAAAGAACAGCAGATATTAATATACAATGCAGGTTAGGAAAAACACAAAGGAGCTCCTCCATAATTATAATCCGTATACGCTCAGAGTCTAGATATAGATTTATATCTACATGGTCCTTTTAGCCTATTGTTTGTGTTACAAGCTAATCTAGATCTAAATGTAGATCAAGGGTTAGGATGGAGAGTTAGTGCTGTCCCCGTAGAATTATGCAAATTTAGAAGGCCAAATTATGCACACAAAAAAGCAAAATTATGCAAAAATTATGCAAGTTACCGTAACACCATTCGTGACATGTTTTGCACTTTTTCAACGCGAAGTTTCCTGATTTTCATGTTTTATGTACAGAAAAATTGAAAACGGAACATATCAGTATCAGTAATTTGTTGTGTATTTGGAAAAGAAAACAATACACATCAGTAAAAAAAACAACAAACCAACCAAAAAATATAATCTCTGTAACTTTCAGCTGTAGATCTATAAAGGAAAGAAAAATGCTTTTAAAAAAAAAAGGATATCTGGACCTCTGATGCAGGCACATTACTAAAACCAGGGACACCTGTCAAGCATGAAACATCAGCAGACATGAGAACAACAACTTTTGATGCATTGAAAAATTGAACATGCTCAAGGAACAAAACCCCAACCCATAACCAAGATTTTCTAACAAGGGAAATAACCAACTTTTCTCTTAAATGAGACTTATTACGGTGATTACGTCCCTTTAGTCACATGGCGAGGCGTTAATTAATTGTTTTGTGAAAAAAAAGAAAAAAAACGTGAAAAAACGCGGAGAATAAAAAATTATGCAAATATGCAGAATTACGCGAAAAAAACACGGCCGCGCCGCGGCCGCACAAACGCATATATCTACGGGGACAGTTTTAGTGGTTGTTTGCATAGAGAGGCTCTAAGTCATTGAAGAGTGTGCGGATCAGGAGGGGGGCCTCCACTGTGTAGACATGGATTTTAGACAGATCTGAATTTAACTTGCACAGTCAAAACTTCACTGTAGGTTTAATCTAAACACGTACACTGATGGAAGAGATATTTGATATTCACACAATCCAGATGATTTAAAAAAAAGACAAACTGCAATAGGCCTCAACTAAAAGAATCCAGGCATTCAGTATGATGGTGATGAAGAATGACTGAAAATGAACAGTAGGCCTACGGACAGTACAGCCAAACAGCACTTCAAATTTGCGATCTCAAAACTGTTGGTCAATTTTAATTAATTAATTAGTCATCACTTCTGTTCCTCAACACACACAATGATGTAGAAAATATTCACATAGTCCAGATGACTTGAAAAGCAAACTGCATTAGGCAGAAATAATCCAATTTCAAAGCATGAGCAAACAGTAATTCAAACTGCCCGCTGTGTAGGTTTATCACTACTAATAATCTATAAGGTTGTGGGCCTACTACACGGGTGTGCCAGCCCACAAGGAATCTAGGTCAGTCGCCTGCAGGTGGCCTGTTTTTATGACCGTCTAGGTTGTTCCCTATTGATGACGAAAACCTCAAACAACATCAGTGTGCTCGTATTTGAGCTGTGTTCTGACCATCATTTCTGCATTTTCTCTTGTGGAAACATACCCTCTCACATCTAGGCCTAGATCTACGTAAAGTAAAGGCAGATGCTTGGATTTTTTTATCAGGGGAAGAAAAGAAAATTGAACCAAATGAAGGTCTCAATCTAGACCTACCCATCCAGAGTTCATCCAGTTTCTCACAGCCTGCATCGTGTTCCCACCCATCCCCTCCCGTCCCTACTGTAGGCTAACCCTCGCCCATCCTCTTGGCCTGGGGGCCCATAATTATTAGGAGGCACACTAGATTTAGCAATACAATGTGTCAATAATCGAGGATGGGTCTTGTGCTTCGAGTGAGATGGAGAGAAAGGAGAAAAATTCTTCGCTTTTGGGGCCGCTAATTGCTTTCATTTGGTTATCGTGACGTTGTTGAAAGCGACTTCAGTCTGTTTGCAACCTCATTGAAGCTGATGTGGAGCCGACTTCTCGTTGAATGTGACCTCGTTGAATGCGACCTCGTTGAATGCGACACCCACTGTATTCATAAAATTAGGTTAAATTTATCAACAAAAAATTCTTTTACCCCTCAATGAATGGAGATGGTGACATTTTTATTTGGAAGTAGTTTTACTAGTTGTTAATGAAAGCTTTTGGTCTCATCTGTTTACCCCCCAAAAACCCAGTCTTTGAATTTTGTCTACTTTCTAAGGAAATAGCTGTTCATTTTAGCAAAATATTTCAATAATTTTTATTGTTTGGATCTTGAGGATGCAAATGGAAACCCTTTGCTGCTATGCCTGTTTTCTTGTCTTTTAGCAAAGGAAGGTAATCTCTGACTGCTAAAAGAAAGGATCACTGATGAGTGGGACACTGTTTCAGGAATTCTACCTTAAGATGTGCGGGTTCATATCCCAAGAGGGGTCCAGCATTGTGACATTGGGAAAAATATTTTGCATGAATTTTCCTCCCTTCACCTAGGTGGGTACGTACCCTCTATAGACGGCGAAAGATCTTGTCTGTTTGTTATTGTTATGTAATCTGCCGCTAGCGCTCAGGCAACTGTGAATATTATATTACTTTTTTTTACTCATGTTTTAGGGTCTGCTGGAATAACTAAAGTTGTAAAGCCCACAGAGCATGCTGGAGAGTGTGTATGTGGGTTGTATGAATACAATTATCATTATTATTATTGTTATCATTATTACTATTATCTTCATTATTATTATCTTCATTATTTTATTATTATTATTATTATTATTATTATTATTATTATTATTATTATGTGTTGTCTTTTTTTTCAGGAGTTGTGCTTGGAAAAGATGGAGGTATGGTTCAAAATCTGAAGACTCCATTTTATCTTGGTGCGGGAGGACCAATTGGGTCAGGAAAACAATGGTTGCCATGGATACACGTTGATGACATGGTCGGCATCATCTTGTTTTCTGTGGAGAACGACAACGTGAAGGGTGTGCTCAACGGGACGGCGCCCGGAGTTGTGGCAAGTGGAGAGTTCACCAAGTCATTTGCCTCTGCAATGTGGCGCCCTCACTTGTTCCCCATGCCGGCGTTCGTTGTAAACAACATGTTCGGCTCCGAGGCAGGGATTGTAATGCTGGAAGGTCAGAAGGTGACGCCAAAACGCGCTTTAGAGTTGGGGTACAAGTTCAAATATCCAGACGTGACGTCGGCGTGTAAAGAGCTCGTCTCGTAATCGTGTGTTTAATTTAGTATGTGTGTGTGTGTGTGTGTGTGTGTGTGTTGAGGTTTTGGCACTGTTGAAAAGTGTGTTTTTAATAATATTTTCTTCTCTACCTTGATGAATGTTTTGCTGCACAAGACCTCATTCTGCCAGTGGGGTTTTGTAATTGTGTCTCCCTAAACCGATGGATATTGCTGTTATTTGAAATGTTGAGAAAATGTTATTAAAGTGCTGTATGTTCTAGGTACCCAATTTCAGGTCTGAATGACTCATTCATTTGAAACATGATACTGAGAGAGTAAGATTCCTGCTTTTGTGTTGATTTAGTAAGTTAAAAGAAGCATTAAGATGTACTACTGCTGTATATTTTTTAACAAAAAATCTTCTTGTGGATTTTGCTTACCATACGAAACAGCTTCTTTGTTTCATTTTTTTTTTCTTTTATTGTTCTGTGGTTTTATTATGTATACGGGTATGTTGAAGACTTTGATATGTGATTGAGAGAGAGAGAGAGAGAGAGAGAGAGAGAGAGAGAGAGAGAGAGAGAGAGAGGGAGGGAGGGAGGGAGGGAGGGAGGGAGGGAGGGAGGGAGGGAGGGAGGGAGAGAGAGAGAGAGAGAGTGAGTAAATGTACAGCATCACTTCCTGAGGTTTTAGGTCTGTATCAAGCTGTTACCTCTTTTTTTTTCTTCTTCTCATTCATCTTGAAAAGGACATCCCATTCTCTTGTGCGAAAGCTGCTGTTTGCCAGGCTCTTGTATAGTTGTGGGTCTCCCTGCTCAGGGTTGGGCCAATATTTGTTTCTAGGTGCCCCGAGAATTGGGAAGGCTTGTAGTGGATGGTTCCCTGTCTTTTACAAGCCTCTGTTATGTCCGTAAACGATTTTTGATCTCGGAATTGTTCTCCAAGTGGCACCCTTATAAATTGTATACTTTTCCATCCAATGTCTTGTTAAGTCCGGGAGCATTTAAGCTAGGTTCAGTTTGGGTATGTGAGTGTGAACATTGGTGTGATTCCATGTGCATGAGTGTGTATGTGTGTTTGTGTGTGTGTTTGTATGTGTGTGCATGCATGTGTGTGTGTGAGTGAGTAATATTCATGTTAAAAGGAATCTCTCTTTTTTGTTTTTGTCTTTCCTGAGAAGTTTGTCAAATTGTTATGTGCTTGATTGTAATTGTTAGGTAGCTAATTCATTCTGTTGGCTTGTTCGAAATGATTTCTTGGATGTCAGGATGTGAATCAGTTTGGCTTGCCCTGTATTGGCTACATGTATTTGAAGATTGTAACCACAGGCTTGCCAACAGTCCTGAATTTCTTGGGACTGAGAAAAAGGGTGAAAAACTCCCTTTGAAAACAATTTTCAAAGTTGTGTTGTGTTGGTTGAGCATTTCCTGTCTTTGATGTATGAATAATTATGTTCTTGTACAAAAGAGTGATTGAATAATCTTTTCTGGAAATTGAAGTTCATGATTATGATTTGTTCAATTTTTGTCAATTGAAACTAATTCTCATGAAAATGCTTTTAGATTAAAAAGAAAAGATAAATATAAATGGAAAATTTGTGTTCTGTGATTTTTGTTTTACTTATGCATTTACATCTATCATCTGTCTGTTCAGCTGTCACAGGCAGAGTCAAAGCATCACACTATCTACATTGTGTTGATCTGAATGAAAAATATTTGTGAGGCATCGTTGTGAAATCAGGCGCAGGTCAAAATAGTGAAATCAAAGATATTGGCAATTTTATGTCTGTTGGTCAATTTTTTTCTAATTTTCTTTTTTTGGCTCAACACCTTTTATATCCATTTAAAAACGCATTCACGTGTGGATTTTCCTGAAGCAACATTGACTAAAGGCACAAAAAATGTTAATTTTCAGTTTCCAAGGACTCTCAAGCTGTGGAAATTTACCAAACTTTGGCGGCCATTTTCTCGCTAATTACATCTCTGAAACCAGGTGACCCTGACCTCCTTCAATGGCAAATATTTTGACTTCTATTCAATATAGATGGATATTTTTTTTACCTAAAGCAAGGCAAATGAACAGGCTTTTAGATGGTACCAATAACACCAAATTGCCCAAAAATTGACAAGCGCCTGATTCCACCATGGTGCTGCGCATTTGCAATAAATTTTTTTTTCAAGGGAACCTTCTGAGTGAGACACAGCGTTTCACGCGCTGGACAGTTGGAGCTAGGACTATATCCTAAAATAATCCCCACTTGTGAATCGAACCCCAGTCTTCTGCTTGCATCATTGTGAGGAGTCTGACATCAGACAATTTTGTGGGTCAATTTTTAAACAAGATTTTTTTTCCCACCACCAGGCCAGTTTAAATTAGATGAGTAGAAGAGAGAGGGAAAGGGTAAGCCAACAACCCACCAATGAATTAGATATTCAAACTTCAAACACAAACAGATAGATATTTTCATTGTTATTCATATACTCTTACTATTTCATCTTGGTGTGGAAATATCATTATCCCTACTCATTCAGGTCGTCAAAGAGTGCAGGTTGTTAGCTTATGCTCTGGTGTGATTTGCTCCTTCTTTCCTCCATCTAATGGCTATCGTCTGTATCTCTCCTTCCTTTTTGTGTTTGTTACTCTCTTGTAACACGTCTAATGTTCGGCACCTAAACGACCTTATCGTGTTGTAAGTGCCCTAAAACTCATTTTAACTACAACCTTTTACAATGATTGTCAGATACAAATAAAATCACTCACATTGCACCTGTAAAGGAGGAGACACAGGTAAAAAAAATAAAATGTTTTTTTTTTTTAAAGATTGTGTGAATGAAGTGAGAAGAGAGGGCATTGGGAATAAATAGATAAGATTAAGATGCGCCTTCTGTGAAAGTCAAAGTAGGCCTACTTTAAATTTTACGTGTAATGGATGAGTGGCACCCAACTAGCTGGGGGAGTCGTGCCCCCTGTTGCTGGGCCAGGGAGATGTCTCTGTAATCTGTAACCAAGGAGCCTTGTCTGTGCAACAAAGTTATTTATCTCATACGGTACAGCTGCTCCGGCTACGAGTAAAGAAAAGAGAATTCCTTACAAAACATTCAGCGTTGACGTAATGGAAACAAAATCTTAAAGAAGAATAACAACCAGCATTAAAATCTGTCGTTAATTATTGGGTTTTTGAATCCTATTGCCAGGCCTTTTTTTTAGGCCTCAGGTTTTTTCTTAATTCAACACCTTATGCTAATGATGTAACGTTATACAAGAATTAAAGATAGTTAAAATCCCTCAAAAGTTGCTTGCATTTGTTTACCACGTTCTCTTTGAAGCCTTGGTAGGGGGCAGAAAGAGAGAACCAGCAACTTTGATGAATAATAAGGAATATTGATCACCCTTACTGTATAATACAATGACATATAAGCCTATAATATATGGAAAACATCATTTGCCCTCAGCCTTAAATTGTGGATTGCAAAATAAAATGATTAAGGTATTGATCCTGCTTGTAATGAGAACAAATTATTTCAAGAATTTTATGCGTGCGACATTTGGACGGGAGTCGACCATTCGTAGAACGATGAGCAAAATTAGGTGTAGACAAACAGCTTGTTTGCGAGTCTGTCGACAGCCCTTGTTTTGTTAACATTTAGCGACCTCAGAATTACAAAGTTCTATGCCCTCAGCATCTAAGCTTAGTTTTGAGAAAAGTGCCGTCAAAGATTTTGAGTTTTACATCAAGTCAAGCTTTTTTAAATGCAATTCTTTGAATATCTTGATAACGCTTTCGAATAATTTTACGATTTTAATAGAGCAGATAAAACATTAATTGGTTTTGATCTCATGGTCTTTTTAAAAACTCAAAACGGCCAAAAATGTCAGATAGAACTTTGTAATTCTGAGGTAGCGATTAATGTTTCATCGCGATGTCTATTTAGTGGGATACCCCTGTGGATATTTCAAAGCACTTAGTAATATGATCAGTAAAGGTCATTTCAGTTTACTGCACTAGCATTACAAGTAGGTCATATTAGTGCTGAAGATTCATGTTGATGTTAGTGTTAGGTAAGAGGTGTAACATATTAAAATTTATTTATAAAGCAAAGATTGTGGCGAGATAAGGACAGTAGATGGAAAGAGAGAGCAAACTACACTAGAGCACCTGCCAAACACCCTCTGCAAAGATGCAGTTTTAGGCCTTTCTAATTTTCGACCTTTTCATGATTTCTCTTCCCTCGGCGACTCCCTCGTGTCGTTGTGCTGGGGTTGGGATTGGGTTTGGGAGGGAGGGAGGTGTTAAGGGTAATGACCGCAGAATATTATTAGATTATTTTCCTCCATGTTCCTCTGTCTGTCTCCCCTTGGAGGAGTTTGTTGCTGGCAAACCAGCCCATTATATCTGATGTTGTCCGACAAACCAGCTTTCTCCCTTATTAAACAAAATGAGTTAAGAATGTCTCATCTTCTGTTGTTTAAACCAGGCAACAGTAACAACCTGGAAGCACTCGCGTGCAAGGCTTCTTGATTTGAATCTTTTTCCAAACACCAAACAAAATGTTAACCCCTCACAAGACCGTCAAGAGTTTTATTTTTGTTTTTAGCGAAGGTTGCACACTACCCCTAACAACAACAAACACACCCGCACACACACACACACACACACACACACACACACACACACACACACACACACAACACCACACACTCACATACACACGCGCGAAAAACTGTAGATCATAATTTGGGAGGAAAGCTTCCGACCCTTTCTATCAGGGCCAACAGAGACTGAGAGGAGAGCCACATCCCAGCGGAAAGGGGCAGGATTGAGTTACATGTCATTGTAGACCTACTTGATAAAATTTTTCTCCACCGGAGAATCAAACTGGTGTCTCCTGTGTACAACAGCAAAGTGCCTAACCGCTACACCACAGACGCTGGTACCTGAAGCTGGGCTCGTTAAGGACGCACTATTTTGGGAATATTAAAAGTAAAGAAGCATATTTTGATAATTGACATTCATAATATCTATCTATCTATCTATCTATCTATCTATCTATCTATCTATCTATCTATGGGGGCTCTCGTGGCCTAGAGGTTAAGGTGTTGGCCTCTCATTCAAAGGTCCCGGGTTCGAATCCGGGTAGCGACCGAACATTTTCTCTAAAATTGTCTCCTTTCACCTCGTTTCCTGATCTCTAGCAATGTTCTGTTGTCTGCTTTCATTTCCACTTCCTGCCCCCACCCCCTCACCTCCTTTGCCCCCTCCTCTGGGCTCCTGACTCTTTCTGCAGCCTTTCTACTGCTACTCCTTGG